TCCCTCACCTCCCTCATCTCCCTCCTTTCCTCCCTCCCTGGTCCCCCACCCCATTCATTTTCCAAATATCTATCAGTCAGTATGACATTTTCTAGCATAAATCAAGCTGTGCACTTAGTTGCTATGGCCCTTTGGATAGCTGCCCATTGCAGTTACAATACAACCCATAGTTCTCTTTTGATCTGCCTCCAGCTCAGGCTTTAGTCCTCAGCCTCTACCACTGCTTTTCTCTTTCACTGTCTCTCAGCCCTGCCTTCTTTTTATTTAAAAAAATTGTTTTTTATTTTATGTGTATCAGTGCATCGCCTGCATGTACATAAGTGCACCTGTGTCATGCAATGTCCAAGGAGGTCAGAAGAGGGCCTCGGATCCCTTGGAACTGGAGTTAGCTGCCATGTGGGTGCTGGGAATCCAATCAGGGTCCTCTGCAAGAGCAGTCAGTGCACTTAACCACTGAGCCATCTCCCTAGCTCCCCTGCCTTTTTAATATTCTGTTCCCGACTCTACGCGCTCCCTTGGTCTTCTCCTGGAATGCTTTTCCAGTTTTAGAATGGTTGTACCTTCTCATAACTTGGCCGAAAAGAAGTTCCTGACCACATTTCCCCTCCCAAGAGAATCATTGTCCCCTCCCTCACTCTTGCTTCTATGTCACTTAAGGTCCTGCTCAGAACCTTCCAGTGGCTCCCCACCTCACTCCCATCAGTCTCTACCACAGACATCTTCAGGGGCCACACACCACCCCATCATTCTTTCCTCTTTTAATTTCATCTCCTTTCTCTTAATTTCATCTCCTTTTTGTCCTCTTCACCCTGCCCCAGCCCTCCTATTAATAGTGCCCTTGCTGTTTTTCCAGCATCTCAAGGTCTGCCCTAACAGGCAAAACTTGTAGAGGCTATTCCTTCTGCTTGGAATATTCTCATCCAAAATTTGAACATTACCTGATCTCTCATGTCACTTACATCTGACTCAGCGTCACAGATCTTCCATGACCCTAATTAATATTGCAACCTCATCAGCACACCCATCACTTTTTACCTTTTTATTTCCTCAAAAACACAATATTTGACAAATTATTAAGTTTACCGATTGTTTTCTGCCAACTAGAATGCGCCACCTAGTAGAGCAGGAATTCCGTTTTCTTTTCTTTATTTTCTTCTTAGGGAAGTCGCTGCTTAATGAGTGATTTGGCTTTAAATACATGTACTACCTGAAGTTAATTCATTTATCTAATTTATGTTTTCCTCTTTTCCACATGCAAACCTTTGAAGACACAGTTGCATATAGGCAAAGAGATCGATTGGACCATTAAAAATCATAAGTGATTTTAACTTCAGAAGTCAGTACTAACCGCCCCAGGCTATTTCCAGTCAGTCCACTGTTATTATAAACTTTGGGGGCCTGAGGGATCCTACTCTTTGCATCAATTAGGATATCAGACTATCTGATGGCTGCGAAAGGGCCCCTTCCTCCACATCCACCCCAGGAAGAGACAGGTTGACTGCAGTGCTCAGGCACCTGGTCACCTTGCACTGGGTCACCCTCCCGTCCAGCCTCAAGCTGTGTCCCCTGCGGGCTGGCTGTGGGGAGTGGGGAAGCCTTACACAACACACAAGTGGCCTAAAAAGAGGAAGTGCAGAAAGGGCTGGAGTAAACAAGTAGAAGAAAGACTTGCAAAATAAAAGGGTTTCTCTGCGTTTTCTGGAGCTAACATTTAGCCCTCTGCCTTAGTTCCTAACACATGCAGGCTGGAAAGATCCACCAGTTGTCCAGAGGACACTCTTGAGAGACACACTCAGGTGAAGGAAGGACCAGCGAGGAAAGGGCAACTTTTCCCATAATCAATCAGGGCGGGGAAGTTTTTTCTCCAAGGTGAAGGATAAGAGGATGAAAGGCGCGGGCTGGAGGAGTTGAGAAGAGCAGCCCCCGAACTTTGTCTCCTAACCAGGGCCCTCCCTGCTTCTCGGTGCTGAGCAGCGCACGCCTGCACGCTGCGTGGGGAGGGCAGGGCTGACACCACTTCCTCCCGGAGGCCAAGGACCTTGGGCCCCCAGCTGCCTGCAGAGCACCGAGCCCGGCCTCGCGTCTTCCAGCATCTCCGCGCAGCGCCCGTCTCCTGCATCCCTGCATCCCGGCACATCTCCCGACACAGCCGTCAAGGTAAGCGGCGCCGGCGGAGCCCTGCACATCGCGGCTCGGGTTCCCTGGGGCGGCCATGCCGCCTGTCCCCACCCTGCGGGGCTCCTCCGCTGCCCGAGGCCACCCGCATCTCCAGCGAACCGCCCGGGTTGTGGGGCTGGAGCTCCGCTTCCGCCACGTTCTGGGTTCCTCAGATTTGAGATTTCCTACTTAGGAAATTGCTAGAAGGTGGAAGGAAGAGCCGATATGAGCCCTCCGGTGTGTTGCAGGCCCCGGGACCCCTCCGCGAGCCAGCCCAAGACGTGTTCCCGGGGCATTTTAGGGCACTGAGGGTTAAATGCTCTTCCTGTGAGATTCTGAGAGTGTGTCGCACTTAGCGTAGTGTCCTCTTCATTTAAAACTGCAAGAAGCCGCTGCTTTTTGAAAATAACTTTTCCTTTTAGTCTCCTTTTTTAAAAATATGCTGAAGATGAGTTGGACACCAAACAGAGGTTTCCCAATATACCTTAGAATGGAGGTATATGGAACCTTTGAATCTTTTTTTTTTTTTTTGTCTTTTGAAACAGGGTATCTTTGTAGCCCCAGCTGGCCTGGAACACACTATGTAGACCAGGCAGGCTGGCCTTAAACTCACAGAGATCCGCCTGCCTCTACCTCCCAAGAGCTGGGACTAATCATGAAGGACACTAACCAGGGAAGTCCTGTGTCCCTGGGAACCAAGGCTCCCTACAAGGCTTGGGAATTCCAACCGCCTCTTCCTCTTGGGGCGGTATATATTGGCATTGGTACGGTGGTGAATGAAATGCGTTCTCCTAGGGCCACTCACAGCATCTCTGTCCCAAAAGAGCTCTTAATGTGATAGGGCGACCTGGAGTAACAGAGCAAAGTTAGGCCGAGAAGTCAGTGAGTTTATTACTCTCCCAGATAAGAATTCTGGTGGGATAATGTGTTTTAAACAAAAGCAAGGATACTCCACGCGTTTTAAAAATCAGGACTCCAAAACATCTCAGAAAGGAAACCTTGGCCTTCTGAATAGACCCAGACTTCTGCTTTCTCTGGGCCTTACCGAAATACTGGGCGCATGGCCATCGTAGCAATGATAGCCAGCACGGTGAGCAGTGGGAAGGGGAAGAGCCTTCAGTGATGTCCTCCACCCTGTGTTCCCTGTCTGCTCAAGGAGTTGGGAATAGTCTGACAAATTTACTCTCATTTTCAAACTATTAGCTCTTAACTTCTACATTCTAACTAATATTTGTCTTTCCTCGGTTATTTAGGCGATAAGGTCTAGCTCAGTATCTGATACTAGACAGGGATGAATTTGATTACATTGTTTTAAGGGTGCTAGATCTTGGGTAATTCATCAGTAAAATGAGATTATTATACTACATTGTAGAAAAGAACAATGCTATCAAGGGGCTGGAGACAGATTCAGTTGTGGAGCACTGCTTTACCAGGCCTGGCCTTTGATACCAGGGGGAGCCAGGAGGATATACCAACAGACTGTTGAATTCTGAAATATAAACGTTTTTGATGCTTTTGACGCTTTTTGTTTCTGAGAAATTCCATTAAAACACAGTTCCTGGTGCATGTATAACAACTTTCCTTTATGTTGAAAAACAGAATGGTCCTAGGTCAGTATTTTATGTCAAAATTACTATTTTTCAAGAAACATAACTTTGAAGTGTGTAATTATGTTAAATTTCATATGTGATACTTACTAAGCTAAGTAACATGCACTACATTTTTTCAATTTTTATATCCTGAGACTGTATATCAATTCTCCACTATATTTTCACTCTGTTTGATTTAAAGATAAGTTCTAGGTTGTTTCCACAGTACTATCATAAGCTATTTATAAAGTTCATTGTTGTGAATGTTTGTGATTTTGATTTTTCTGAAGAACATTCTTTTTTCACAAAGCTTTATTGTTTTTATTTCTTTCTAGTCCTATTTAACTTTACTTATTTTTATAACTAACACCTTTTAATGAATCTATGAATTTTAGAATAAATTCAATTTGTGTTTAAAAGTCTATCAGACCACAATCTTTATAATATTATTGAACCTTATTCATGATCTTAGGAATTCTCAAAATAGAACAGTTTAGAACAAATATGAAATATTTTTATTTATATACACAATATACACACAACTTGAAGGTAATTTTATGCACTATTTTGAATAATTTGTGCATGAGAAAAAGTTGTATATGGATGCTAAACATCTGGGGTATCTTGGAGATGCTGAGCAAGCTCTGTATTGTGTGTCTGTATTTGGACTGTGGCTTGTCACGTGAGGTCAGAGCTTGAAGACTGAATAATTCTTAGTATTTGTATGATTGATATTTTCAGTATGAAAATATATGCGTGTTATATAGCAATGCTGTCATTCAAAGTGCAACTATTTTAAAGTTCATGTATACAATCAATATACATTTTAAGATTTAAAGGTGTTTATTTGATGAGGACACTGGTACAGTGATGCTCATATCTTTTGTAGTTATAATTATCAGGAGAAATTACTTTTAGAGAAAACTTTATATATCTGGAAAAGTAGTTTATTTCTCTGGAAAAGAGAGAACAGCAACACTAAGGACAGGTGTGAAACTGCCTCCACCGGGCTCAGAGGGCCGCATTGTGCTTCAGCATGGCAGAGCAGGGCCAAGAACAGCTTCCAGGGATTATAGAGTGGCACTGCCACCACCACATCCCCTCTTCCAGTCAAATTCTGTCCCTGTAGTTAGGGCTCAAAACATGTTTGCTAAATCAGTTCCACTTCTGGGGAGTGTCAGTGAAGTGACTCAACCCTGAGACCCAGTTTGCTCACTGATCCCAATCCTGAGGCTTGAGCAGGTAAGAGAGAAAACCCCACCCCAGAACACCACACGTCCCAGGATACACTCCACAGCGTGGATTCATGATTCCATTTCCACACATTCCCTGAGCTTTGCCTATGAACCTGAATCATAAAGAGTCATGTAATGAGACCCTTTCCCTTCCTCTCTGTCAACTGAGTTTTCCCTTTGATTACCATGCAACAGAAGTGAATAGTAATTGTTATTTCTTTAGCTTATAACTGCTTATACCCCTTATCCAAAGTGCTTGAGATCAGAAGTATTTCAGACTTTGGATTTTGGGGGGAGAAAATAAAATATTTGCATGTATGTGAGATATCGTGGGGATAGAACCCAATGAACATGAAATTCATTTGTCTCATATGCACTTTCTACACAAAGCTGAAAGCTTGTTTTATGCAATATTTTAAATAATTTTGTGCACAAAAAAATGTGTATTTCAGTTAAGGGAGATGGGCAGTATTTTTGTTTTTACTTGGAGAGACTAAACTCTGTATTTTGATGCTGACCTGTCTCATGTGGTTAAGTGTGGAACTTTTTGTTTGTGGCATCATATCAACACTCAAAAATGTGTCAGATTTTGGGAGATTGGGACTTTGGATTTTCAGAGTAGGGATACATAACAGATACGGTGTACCAGACACTTGTTGTGGCTAATTTAGATGTGTTGTTTTTTTAATGCTAGCATCTGGACTTATAGGACTGATACTCCTTGGTCATTGAGGAAATGAAAACACAGTAGGTTAGGAAACTTACATAGAGTAACATGCAGAGATAAAACATTGAACCAGGATGATTTGATGGCACCACCCAGGGTGCTGATCAAACACCAGGGCTCAGATGAGCGAAAAATGGGGCCATTCCTCAGAGAGCTTGTAGCCTAGAAGAGGGGAGAAAACTGGGTAGTTATAATTCTTCTTGTGACTAGGGCTGAGTACTGTGTGAGCATACATCAGGTCCCTACACCAGACTAGGGTTAGGGGAAGAGAATGAGTACAAGATGTCAAGCAAAAAGACTTAACTTGTATAGAGGTAAGATAAGGAAAATATCATAAATTTTGAAGTTATCTTTGTTTGTCTTCTGAAAAAATAATCTCCTCTGGCAGCAATCGTATATTCATTTTTATCTTTATTATTATCCAAATCCCTCGTGCTAGCCTTCGAGGTTGATTAAATCAACAAAGTAGTAAATCTAAGTATTTCTTTAATTCTGTTGGAAATCTGTCTGATTTGGTCTTATATCACAGACTGATCAGAGATATAGCAATGGGCTGGGAGGGGCATAAATGCTTAATCACACAGACATTATGCTTCCTTCAGTAGCTAGAAGATTTGTATCCAGGTAACTACATCCTGTTAAACTAAGAGAGAAATGAAGAATGATGTTATAACAAAGTTAGATATTTTCTTTCATTTTGTTATGAAATATTTCGTACATAAATGACATATTTGTCAAAGCAAATAATAAAGCCTCCATCTGGAAGCCTGTCACACAGTATAAGACATTGGCATCATTTAACATTAGTATATTTCTGCTCTAAAAGTAATAAAAATTCCGAGTATGCTCATTTTAAAGCATTTAGAAAGGATATACATTTATAAGGGATAATATCCAGATGGTAGTTAGAAGATGTTGCCATTTGGACGCTGGAATTAGCATCCCCACTGACTCTAAGTATGGTCGGGGTACCATTAAGAAAAACAGTTTAAATAGTATAAAAACAGAACATGTCAGAAGTGATCATGAGTAACTATGACAAAAATTGTGATCATAATCATTAATGATGGACCAAGATCCATTAGTAGAGAACTGTAGGTTTTTTCAATTTATATTTTTATTGAACTTTTTTCTATTTTACACAATAATCTTAATCATTAGACCCTCTCCCCTATCTGCACCCACTATAACCCCCCCACTGAATTTCATGCATTCTGTCATATATTTTAAAGCCTATCGAGTCAAGTCTGTGTCCCCAGATGTCCCTTAGTGTGAGTTCATCCACTGGAGCCTGGTCAGCCTATCTAGCATCACTCCCTTAAAAAAAATATATCAACTCTCCCTCACTCCGCAGTGATCAGCTACCAGTAGTTCTTCAGCTAAGCTTGGGGTTCCTTGTCCATTTCCTCAGTTCTACACTGGGTTTTTGTCTGGTTTGAGTTTGCATAG